TCATATATTCCATTTTAAAGATCCTTATTTAAGCTTTCACAGATTCTCATTTTTTTTTATTACTTTGATACCTCAAAAATCAATCATTAATTTTGACTACACTTACCTATTAATTGACAAATTGGCTCAATGAGATTCCTTGCTTTATGTTATTTACTACTTTCTAGTTAGTTACACATGAATACTGTAACAGCTGCTTAAGGCTAACCATTTTAATTCTTTGAACTGCCAAACTATGTAATTCCTATGACAGCTGTTAACAGGCTAAGAGAAATGAAGACAAGAGGAAAAGACAAAAGGTTCATCTGATGGTGACAGGATGTAATCACAACCTCAATTAAATAAAATTACCTAATTCTTTTGAAGGTTACAAATATCTCATATCTATTACTATATTTAATATAAACAACAGCCCTGTTGGAAAAGTGTAAACCTCATTTTATAAAAAAAAAAAAGACTTAAAGTTCACAGATGTGAAGATGACTTGGTCAAGGTCACCTATCTATGCAGTAGAGAGCAGGCAATGACACCCAGGCTTCTCTTTATCTTTTTACTGTATAATGGTTTTAACATGATCTATTTCCTGAGAAGGCAAAATCATGAAACAGACTAGAATTATACAAAGAAATATTTAATCCTAAGAATGAAAAATGACAGAAGTTGATGATGATGATCCTTATAAGCCAAATCTTTACAAAAATTAAGTTAAACAAGAATTTCCTTACAGATACGTCTTCTTTAGTGGACCACATTGGTTCTTTCTTGAGCTCACAATTCTTCCCAATTTCATTTTCTTTCTAAAGAACATAAAAAATATTGTTCAAAAGAGTTAATACCTTTTATAAAAACCTTAAAGATATTCATGTTCTGAGCCTCAGTTATTTGACTTTTAAGAAAATCTTTCCTAAAGAAATTATAAGATGAAAGAAAGAGTAAGTATACAAAGATATTTTTCACTATGAATATAGGACCAAAGAACTGGAAGGCATCTAAGTCCATGTCAATTAGAGAATACCTAGCAATATAGGATCATAATGTAAATCAATAAAAAATGGCTAAAACCTTCAATTAACAGTTGACTCAAAGTCTGAAAGATAACATTTAAAAAGAAAATACTAAGGTATTAATTATAGCTGTCTGTGGATGGTAGTATTAACAACAAACTGTTGGCCTATTTTGATACAATCTATAGCATTCAAAAGGTCTTTCAAATAAGGGTCTCCCACTTCCCCCCAACACCCTGTTCTGGGGGTTGAATTCAGGGCCTTGCATTTGCTAGCCAGGTGCTCTACTACTTGAAACACACACCCACCCCCATTCTTGTTTTGCTTTAGTTATTTTTTGGATAAAGTCTTTTGTTTTGATCTGAGGATGGCCTCAGACTGTGATCCTCCTACCTATATCACCCATACAACTGGGATGACAGGAGACCACCACCATGCTCAGCTTATTGGTTCAGATGTAGTCTAATTATCTTTTTGCCTGGGATGGCCTCCAACCAAGATTTTCCCAATTTCTACCTTCTGGATAGCTGAGATTACAAGGCTTATCATGTATGGCCCTCAAATAAACCATAAAAATGTAAGAATAAAAAATAAGCTCACACTAAGTAAAATAGTAAGATCAATGTTAATTTCCTGGTTGTGATACTGTACGTAAGTTATTCAAATTGTCCAGGGAATTAGGGGTAATTGGATGAAGGACCCAGGGGTTCTCCCTATACCATTTCTTACAACTGCATATGAATCAGCAACTATCTCAAAACAAAGTTTTCAAAATACATTACAGTGAAAGCAGAAATGCTTTTGTAAACTAGATTCCTGCTAAAACTAACTTAATGCAAGAATACAGTGATTTAACTGAATATATCCTAAAATGCATTATAATCATATTGCTATTTACTCTCCAAAAGCCTATTACTTATTTTGTTCTGTATTTTTCATTTTGAATGTCATGAGTTTGAAACAGTAAAATAAACACAAAGGAAATTATGCTGTAGATCATGCAGCAAAATAAAATAATTATATTGCTTGTTATCACTATGTAAACCTTGGACATTAAACCAAACATCTTTTCTAGCTCATAAACGACTATTCAGTGGTGCCCATGTCAAGGTGTGTGGTACTCAGTTCACGTCTTTCTCTACTGTGCTCTAATGGCCAATACCCTGAATGATATGAGCTCTGTGAAAATATGCAATGAAAGTAGGTATTGGGAATATTCATTAGTGGGCATACAGGATGGAGGAAAGAGTTCTCTGACTTACTAAAGCCAGTGATTTCCATACAGATCTGTATTCACTACGAGCAGTGGAACAATCTGGGATAGAATTTAAGGAAAAGAAAATAAGGATACCAAAAAAAGAGGAGGTGCTGGGAGAGGTGGCACACTCATGTAATCCCAGCTACCTGGGAGGTGGAGATCAGGAGGATTGTGGTTCAGAGCCAGGCCAGGAAAAAACCTGAGTCCCTATCCAAAACACACTCAAGTGAAAAAGGGCTGAGGGAAGCCTACCTAGAAAGCATGAAGCCTTGCAATTCCCAGTACTGGGGGGAGGGGACTGTACATGTGTGTGTTGGGTGGGGGGCAGAGGTGAGAAAGAGAGACAGAGAGAGAGTGAAAGAAAAGAATCTGTAAATCTTGATAATAAAGGGCCCTCTGCCTAAATTCCCAACTGGCTGCAAAATGGAATGAGGTAACTCAAAATCCACTCTTCCTGATACAACTCTAACACTGTTAGGGCTAGCAATGTGCCAACCTTAAAACACTTCCCAGAATCTCTTCCAGACTGGGGTGAGAGATGTAGAGTAGTAAAAATCATGACTAAACTCTGACCACAAATAAAATTTACTAAGTCTGGTTTCTGAGAAAGCTCCTTAGAAAGTGGGAAAGAATACATCTGGAAAAGATCTTTTCCCTGTCCTCTCTCCATCTCCAATGGTTTGAATGTGGGTTGCCCCCCACCCCAAAAACACCTTCATGTTGAAATTTGATTACTAATGTGGCAATTTTGGAAGGTAGAACCTTGAAGAGGTGATTAGGTCACTAAAAGGGATTAATGTCACTCTCATGGGACTGGATTAGTTACAGTTGTTGTAAAGTTGTTACAATAAAGTGAGAGCCATGGTTTGTCCCTTACACAGGCTCTCTTGCCTTCCATTTTCTACCATGTTATAACAGCACAAAGCCTCTGCCCAATGTAGTCATGTGATCTTAGACGTGCACCCTCTGAAAGCATGAATTCAATAAATGCCTTTCCTTTATAAATTACCCAGCATCAACTGTTCTATTATAGTAACAGAAGGTAGACATGAGGGCAGGAGGTGGAACTTTATGTAAGACAACCGGGAAAGCAGTATCATTACCTGCTTCTGGGCTTCTTTCATAGGGAAAAAAAAAAATCACAACCCTATTTTATTTAAGCTGCTGATTTTAGAATTTTTTAAAAACATCAAAGCAATTTTAAACTAACAAAATGAGTGAACAACCTCTAAGAAGAAAATTACCAATGTATGAAATCAAAGTCTATGGGATTTTTGCCCAGATAATGAATTCTATTTCCGGCCTTGCAACTAAGCTGATTTATTAAATTTTTTATTAGTACATAATAATTGTACAAAGGTATCCATTGTGATGCAGTAATGTGTATTTTTAAAAAACTCATGCACCTGGTCCACAAAAGGGGGTGTAGGATGAACTAGGAAGACGTAACTAATAATGAGGATTCTCTTCTGCTATGGTTTGAATATGAAACATGTCCCACAGCCGCGTGTGTTTAATGCTTGGTCCTCACTGGTGGCAGTGCGTGGGGAGGGGGACCTTGCTGGAGGAAGTGGGTCATGGGGACGCGTCTCTCTGAGGGCGCATTTCCTGCCTCTCTGCTCCCCACCGTGAGATGAATAGCCAGCCTCCTGCTCCACATGTTCCTGGCTCCACGGTGTTCTGCTTCGCCACGGGCCAGGAGTATGTGGAGCCAAGTGCTAGTGATTCAAAACTCCGAAACCATGAACCAAACAATAATTTTTCTCTTTAAGTAGTTTATATCAGGGTTTTGGTCACAGTGATTCAAAAGTAACTAATACACCTTACTTTATGAATATGCCAATAGATCACCAAATGGGCATACTTTGTTTTTCAACAGTAGTTACAGATTTATGTGGTGAATGATAATACTAGATTCTCAACAACTCAGCAATCAATTTCCACCTTCCATCACTCAATCTTTAGCTTGTCACCTATCCCCGTCCTCACTCTGTGGCTGTTAGAGTGTGCTAGACCCATGTGGGAGACAAGATGTTAATTTCACCAGATCAATGCTTTACCAAGTGAGCTCAGTCTACAGACAGAAGGGCAACTCACTGATACCTAAAATAGGAAATAATGTGGAGAGCTTTCCCAGCCAAAGTGGATGAGATAAATTACCAACACTCATGAAAACAGCACAGGACATTAAAGAAGAAGATGAAAATAAAAATTCCTAGTGATGTCATAAAGGTGCTATCCTAAATATTTCTTTAGTAGGAACAGTTCTTTCCTTTTGCCAACTTCATTCATCTTCCTCTGCCCATTCATTGTTTTAAAGTATCTCCTACACTCACCATGTTGGCCAACTGTATTTTACAACAGTATGTAGCCTAATCTGGACATCTACCCACAAAATCATTATAGGGTTTTTTTTTTTTTTTTTTGGTAACTTACACTGTTAAAGAATCATTGTAGTTTTAATATTTACCTTATGGGTCAAAAAATTCTTACACTTAATATTAGGTACTAAGATACTTTTTTCCCCTCAAGTAGACTTAATGGATGCTCATACTTTTAACACAAAATCTAACATGCTTTTCAAGTTTCTATTTGTAATGCTTCTCATTAAAAATGCTACTTACAATTATTTTCTCATTTTGTGGTATTGTTTCATCATTAAAATTGCTATTTGTTTCAATATCCATCCTTGGCTTTTTTCTAATATTGACATCTTCTGCTTGTTTTTCAACTTTCACATCAATTTTTAAGTCTGGCTTTGTGTTCTTGAGTAACTGTTCTAATACTTCATCTTCTATAGCCAAATCATGAATTTCTTTTCTTTTGCTTGATCTTAGATTTTCTGAAGAAAGAGATTTATTGGCAGAATTTTTTATACTGTATTGTAAGTCTCTATCATTTGTAAATAAGTAATCTGATTGTTTGTCCACAGGCTCTTTCTGAGAAAGAAGTTGCTCCTTGTTTTTCCACAGTGAGTTATCTGTAAATAAGTTGTCTGAATGATCGTCCATGGGCTCTTTCTGAGATACACACTGCTCCTTATTAGCAGGCTGTGTTTGTTCTAAAAGAGAACAAGACATTTCTATTCTTGCTGATTTGGATGAAGACATTGCTTGATTTTCTTCATCTCTTTCCCTTAGATTTGAAAAAGAAAAAAAAAAAAACCAGGAAATGAACACGGTAATTTTTTTAGTTTGGCAATATTCACCATGCATATTTAATTTACAACACACTCCTGATTTTATTAACAATATTACTGAAAATCAATCAACAAACATTTGAAAACAGAACACAATTCATGTACATTCTACTGTGTTGACAGAACTGAGGAACACTGTGATTAAAGCAATATACAAAATTCTATTTTCTCCGCTGAAGTAGAATTAGCTGATAAATCAACGTGGAAGAAAAAGGAGAAAAACATAAAAAATACAAGAACCTATTACCAGAATAAAGCAGCCTACTTTATAATGTAGGAAACATATGGGCAGGGAAAAGTTTGACAATATACCTGAAGGGTTAATGAGAGCTGGATTCAAGAAAATAAACAAGATTCTAAATCTAGACTATGGAACCACTGCATAATGTAAACACTATGCGACTGTATCACTAAGACTATTCTACATAATACTGCACCATTCATGTGGTATTAAACACTTTGTTTATGCAAATTGTACTAAAACTACAGATGACTCAAAGACTTGGATTTCTGTTCTCTAGGAGTTTACCAGATTCATGTTGAATTAGGATCATAAAGTTGATGCTCTGTTAACACTAATTTAATGTTAGGATACTGGATAGAGGCCAATTAAGAGGCTTTTAAAATAGTGTAGGTGGTCAGACTTTGAAGTGGGGAGCTGGCAACACAAATAGTAGAGGTGGGATTGAAAAGACACTGAAAATAAGAATCAATCATATTGTTTTGGGGAGTCAGAGGAGAAATAATCAAAGATTACAGTAAGGTAAACTCTCTTCACCTTGTTAGGGAGGTTATCATGGAAAACAGGCAGAAAAGAGTTTGGAACTCAGATGTGGATAAACTCTCCTACAAGAGAAGTGCAGAAAACAAAATGCTAGGTAGAAGACACATGAAGAGGAATCTGTCTAGTGGTCTTAGTGAAAGAGATTACGACCTTTCTAAGAGGGAATGAGCTCAAAGAGCTACGGCTTTCCACAGAAGTTTACTCAAGCAGAACAGACTGAAGAAAATACAACTCTACAATTATATAAAAACAATGTTTTTTCAGTGACACAAGAGGACATGAGTTATTGAAAATATACCTTTTTTTGGAACATGGCTGAAAGTAGTTTTTGATGGAGTTCATCGGCTGCTGCTGAGAAACCCGTTCTCTACTTTTGTTTATACCTGGGAATTTAGCTGGTGAAAGCTGATAGTTTGGAATTTTCGCCCTAACCAGAGTATCTGATAGTGTGTTATTATTTTTGGACCTTGATTTAGGGGGTTCCTTTATAGTAGATGATTCTTGTGAAAGCATTCTCAAGTTTTGTTCCATTCCAGAGATTTTTATTTCTTTTGGTCTTTCACTCAAATCCATACTGTAACAAAAGAACAGAATATAAGGTAAACAATCAAGTTTACAGCAAATTTTCCTAGAAACAGAGATCTTTAAATAGTTCTAATGAACATAACTTTAGATGATCATCTTTTTGACAATAATTCAGAGAATGTATTTTGCCATCCCAACAAAGTAGCTCCCTTGTCAGCTGAGTGCCCTGAAGCAGGATGGTGTCTCATGCCCATCACCTACAGCATAAGCTGTCACACAGGGGACTTTTACCTAGTGTTCTGTTATAAACTAAGCTAGATGATAATACTATGACATTTTTGTTTTGCTTAAAAATTTCAAATTATTTCTACATGAAACTAAAAAAATGGAAAATCAGGGCCAGGCGTAGTGGTCCATGCCTATAATCCTAGCAATTGGGAGGCAGAGGCAGAAGTATTGCAAGTTCCAGGCCAGCCTGGGCTATGAAGCCTAACACTTTTTTTTTTTCTTTTTGTGGTACTAGGGTTTGAACTCAGGATCTCACACTTGCCAGGCAGACGCTCTACCACTTGAGATACTCCCCCAGCAAGTCTGAACTATGTAGTGACACCCAGTCTCAAAAAAGAAAAAAGAAAGAGACAAAAAGAAGGAAAATTACAATAAAATCCTATTATTACAGTATTACATATAATGAGGTATTTAGATTACTTAGATTGACACAATTACATTCAGCCAGATGGCAGTCTAGTATAGAACTGTAAACTACCATAAAAATATTTCAAATACATGGTTTTATAATGTATGGCTAAATAGACACTTACTTTACTATTCTCTCTCTCTCTCACACACACACAGACAAGAGCAAGGCTATTGTCCAAATGACTACCATAACATTAACAGTATCTCTTTAAAAACGTAAAGTTAGGTTGGGCATGGTGGTACATACCTATAATCCCAGCTACTCAAAAGAGGTGGAGACTGGGAGGACTGTGATTCAAAGCCAGCCAGGGCAAAAATGCAAGACTATTTCTACAAAAAAGCTGAGTATAGTGGCATGTGCTTATAATCCCAGCTGTGCAGGAGGCATAAGTAAGGGGATCTCAGTCCAGGTCACCCCAAGCAAAAAAATAAATAAATAAAAAAGATAACCTATCAGAAAAATAAGTAAAAACAAAAGGTCTGAGAGTTTGTCTAGCAAGTGCAAGGCCCTGAGTTCTAACCCCAGTACTGTTTAAAAAAAAATTAAAATATTGGCATGGGGGCACATGCCTGTAATTGCAGGACTTGGGAAGGTAAGGCAGGAGAATTCTGAGTCTGAGGCCAACTTCAGCAAGTCCTGTCTTAAAACCAAACAAGAAAAAACCAGGTTAAATCTGGTCACAATAAAAAACATGAAGATAACAAAAATTAAAACACATGCTCTAATATAGCACAGATAATTATCTTAATACAAATGCTTCATTACAAAACATTTAAAATAAAATATGCTGTCTTAAATGAAAAATGTCACAAAATACAAGAGAGCCAACTCTTTCCATTAAAATTAAAACAATTTAGATAGCTAGAGTCTATAAATGTCTCCAAAATTATAAGGAATATTTAAATATGGAAAACATTATACAAATATGTAACAGTCTCCCTTTATTTTTAGGGAATATACCCCCAAGACCCCCAAAGGATGCTTGAAGCCAATGTCAGTACTAAACTCTATATATACCACATTTCTTCCTGTACATACAAAACTATGATTAATTTATAAATCAGACACAGTAAGAGATTGGAATAAAAATAAAACAATTATTATAAAGACTATAATAAAAGATAGGTGAATGTGGTCTGCCTCTCAAAATACTATATTGTATTCACTCTTCCTTTTTCTACAATATGAGATGAAACAACCCCTGTGTGATGAGATGAAGTGAGATGAACGATGCAAGCATTGTGGTTTAGTGTTAGGTTACTATGTAAGGATTACTTGAACACAAGCACTACAATACCAAGACAGTCAATCTGATAACCACCATGGTTACTAGTGACCAAAAGGCAGGCAGCACATACAATGTGGACATACTGAACAAAGAGACAATTCACACCCTGGGCAGGATAGTGAGAAATTTTGTCACACTACTCAGAAGCACAATTTAAAACTTAGGAATTGTTTATTTCAGGAGTTTTCCATTCGGTATTTTTGGACCATGGTTTATTATAGGTAACTAAAACTGCAGAAAATAAAGCTACAAATAAGTGGGGACTACTGTATTTTAAACCATTTCACCAGTAACAAATGAAATACTATAATTCCTTTTCATCTTTCATGTACTTTTGCAAGGTATGAAAAATATTTCAAACAGTAAACTACAGCCTGCAGGCCAGATTAGGTCTACCACTTATTTTTGTAAATAAAGTTTTATTGGAACACAGCCACATTAATTCAATTATATGCTATCCATACTACTTTCACATTACAATGGTAGAGTTAAGCATATAGCCCAGAGACTAGTGGCTGTCTGTAGAAAATTTGCTGATCCCTATCCTAAGATACCATTTTCCTGTCATGCCATTCTCCATGTTTTACCTCCTAAGTGATGGGTTGATTAAGGCACCAACTTTACTTCTTCAATTAATTCATTGATAAAATATGGGTAACAGTTTGTTAACAAAAAAGTTTTACCATGTATCTACTTGCTCTGATTCTGTGTTAGCTACATATGTTGTAGTATTCACTGGAGCACTTGGCATTATTTTTCTGTTGACTGACAAGCTTTGTGAAAGGCTTGGCCCTGGAGTTGTTGTCTTTAATCCTGTAAATCATACAATCAAAAAGAAAAAAAAAATCACAATCACTACACACAAGATAGACATCTGATCAGTGAAAACTCTTAAGATTGTGCTATGCTAAGGTGATTAGGTAATACAGCATATAACTGTTTCTAGTTAGCAAAGCCAACAATTAAATTTAATAAAATATACAAGCAAACTATGAGCATCTGTGATGGTCTTATCCAAGCCAAATGACTTTAAAGCTACATCAAATTCTTTGCTGGGAAGTATTGTCAACTTAAATAAAAATAAGATCAATTTAAATTCTAATTCAAATGATGTTTTATGTCAGCAAAACAAATAAATTACATTTATCCCCCATACAAAGTCTACCATCATCAACACAAATCAGCTGTATTTTTAGAGGGAACACATTATTTGAAATGAAGACATGTAACACCATTTTACACGTACTTTTTTGAGCTATTCCAGAAAACCATAGAGATTACTTTATCACTTGTTAACTAAAACAGCAACTTAGTTCTAATACCGCTCTTTGGGGATACTTTCTTTTGAGCCTCCCACTTGAAAGGTCTCCTTATTTTTGCTTCCATATTAACCTGCAAATTACTCTAATAATGATTCATTTATCACTATCTGTGTAATCTGAGTTACTTAACTTCTTAATGCCTTAGTTTTCTCATTTCTAAAATGGGAACAATTATACCTTTTCACAGAGGTGTCTGAGGACAAAATAAACTGATACATAGATAGCATTTAGAAAAATGCTTGGGACATAGTAGGTACCATGTCAGGGTTACTTGACAGCATTACCATTATTCTATTTGCTACCTTTCCTTATCAGACTGGAATCTCCATGGGAATAGAGTGAATCTTGCTCATTTCTACATCTCCAGTGTGTAGAGCAATTATTTCATATATGGTAAATAAAGAGTAAACTGTTGACTTAAAAATCCTACAGTTAACATTTACTAAGTATCTAAGCTAAATTATCAATCTTTTAGGTCCCTATAATACAGACAGAACTCAATAAGTGGTTGTTACTGATTCCAAGCAAGCATTCTACTACTTGAGCCACTCCACCAGCCCTTAGTACTGATTCTAAATTCAGCTACTTAAGTGACATTTGCCACATCCCCTAGGTGACCTCCTCAGAAGCTCAATGGTACTTCCTTAAAGGAACACATCTCTAGAATTCATTTTAGCTTACACAGAAGTTTGCAAAGAATAAAAATTATGAATACTTATATTATTACTGTAAGAAACATTTATAAATCTAATTATCCAGAATAACTGATGCTTGTTGACATCTGTCAACAATTTATTTACAATGTTCTCTTTGCTAAAAATTACCATGAGGGCAGGGATTCAGTCTACTCAATTCTTTATTTGTAGTGCTTAACATGAGTACAGATATGCAACAAATGTTCAACAAACATCTATTGAGTAAATAAATGAATGAATGCATGAATATGAAAAAGCAAGCAGGGGAGGGAAAAAGGGAAAGAGACATATATTTTTTGTTTCCTCAAAACTGATTATTTCAAACTTATTTGACTCAGAGGTCCATGGGCTGGAACTCACATGATCTATCAATGAATATGCGCAAGAACGTACAATGTACCTTTCTATTCATGCTCATGACCTTGTTTCTATATGAAATTATACAAGAAAAACAAATTTTAGTGGTTGGCTTAGCCATGAAGTAGTTATAAAACCTACTTATCTCAGTTTTGATCTTATTTTTCTGATTGTAAATTTTATTAATAGACTCAATTTGAAGAACAGTCATACATTTCTAGAAAAACTGATTAGCTAGTATGAAGAGTTCCCATATACCTTCAGTTTCTCCTTTTATTAACAACTTATGTTTCTATGGTACATTTGTTAGGATTAATGAGCCAATAATTTTCACTAAATAAAATACATAGTTTATTCAAATTTAATTTTTACCTAATATCCTTTTCATGTCCCAGGATACTTATTATATTTACTTATCAGCCTTTACATCTGTTATCTTCTTTCTTTTCTTTTGTAACAGTGCTAGAGACTGAACGTAAGGCCTTGTACATGGTATGCAAGCACTCTACTATTAAAGTGCATCCCCAGCCCCACACCTTATCTTTTTCAATTTTTATTTTATCATTTTTACATTTACTTATATGTGTATACATTATTTGGACCACCTCCCCGCTCCCATGCTCCCGGGACCACACCTTATCATTTAACAAAAGGATCAAATGATCTCTAAGTCCCTCTCACTCATAAACGATAGATGAGAAAATTTTGTTGCTCCATAGTGGCAAAAGAGAATCTTGTGTATCAGAAATTGAGTTCAATTAGCAAATATTTATAACTACTACAAACAAGTACTATGCTTACTGCTATCAGGGTTCAAAACTAAAAAAGGGCTTATAATCAATCCAGTAGCTGAAAGAGCCATGACAACAACTGGCTGCTTTACAAAGTTGGAAGAGATTCTTAAGTTGTAATGCAAAAAAACCCAGTTACTGGAGTTATTAATTATGACTTAGAGGACTTGGAAGAGAGTAGTAGAGAAAATAACTTACAAAAGCTTCACATGCAGAATGAGTCAGATGTGATGAGCAGTATTTACATTACATAGGAACTGGGGACATGATGATCAATGTTAGGAAGTGAGGGAACTATAAAAACTATGGTTTATGTAGAGAAGCATATAAAAGATGAGAACTGGAGAATGCAGCTAACCTGTTGAGGGCTCACAAGTCTAGACAAAGGGTTTGGGTATTTATTCTATAGACAATGAGAGCTAATAAAAGTTTTTGAGAGAAAGGTGATTCTAGTGGTGTTCTATGAAAACATTAATATATTGATGAGGTTGGTGGGAGAACTACTACTGGGAACAACTACAACAGAACTCTAGAGGGAAGGATATAGAGGATGAAAATAGGACAGTGGCTGTGAGAGAGATGGTAGAGACCTCTTGAGCAAAGCGGCAGAGGGAGAATTTCAATCTTACTGATAAAATGGCAAAGAAAGAATGAAACCTGACTAGAGTTTGTAGCTGTATTTCCTCCATTTATATAAAGGAAAACTCTCTAGGTCAGTCTTATTCTAACCCAGTGGTTCTTGAGGTTTGTATGAGAAACATGAGCTCAAAATTAAACAAAACACCTAGGTGCCTAGGCTACATCCCAGAATATTTTGAATTACAGAAAATGTAAAGTTGCATTAAAAACTGTTCTACACATGTGCCTGGAAGCAATGCTACAAATCTCTCTATATAGCTATCCTTATCTCAAACTAGCAAAAACATTATGTCTTTCTTATTATTGCTTATGTCTTCTCTTCAACAAAATTGGAGAAGAAGGTAGAACAGGTTTTGCCTGGAAGTGAGGGGGTGGGGGGAAGAGGGAAGGGGTGGGGAGCAGGTGGGAGAAATCACCCAAGCAATGTATGCACATATTAATAAATGAATAAAAGATTTAAAAAAGTGGGGAAAAGAAAACTGTTTCTGAAGTGTGTATCTAGTTGAGAATTTGTCTTTTAAAGAGAGGAAGAAAAAGACAGATACCCCATATTCATCATATCTCAGTTCAACCAAATAAATTATTTACTGGTTATTTTTAAAACGTCCCAAGCACTTAAAACTATGTGTATTAAAAGTTACACATGTATAAACACAAACATACTCAGTGGGAGGGGTAGTGCTATCAGATGAATAAACATCCTTAACCAAATAGTAAGATACTAGCTTGTCAATTTTTTTTTAATCAGATGGCCATCCTTTTGCATCTCTTCCTAGTCATCCTATGCCATCATTTTCCAAAACTCCACACATTAAAATATAAGCCATATGCACTGCAGTGTAATAATGTCATGGAGGCTTTGTCTTAAAAGTCAATTTGAATCAGTTATTTGCTGTGACCTCTGGCTAACTTTCTTAACTTCTTTGTACATCAGTTCTCTCACCTATAAAATGCAGAAAATGTCCTCTATCTTAAAAGGACCATTTTACAAAATTCAATTATAAGGATGGAAGCAGAATGCTTATTCCAGTCTCTGCACACTTAAGAGACTACAGATATTATTACTAATCATTATTACTAATGACCCACACCTACTCAATTCTTGGTTATTAGGCCCTAAATAGCTCACTCCTTCCGAAATCTAGCTTAACACAGTTCTTGGATTGGCAAAATGGCTCAAGTGGTAGAGTGCATGCCTAGCAAGCAGGAGAAGCATGAGGCCCTGAGTTCAAATCCCAGTCCCGTCAAAAAAAAAAAAAAAAAAGCACAGTCCTTATTCATATAAACCAAACTTGCAGAATGCTCAAAAGGAACACTATGCAACTTTATAGGTGCCATTTAATGGACAATGTCAATGATATCCTCTGTAGTATATACTGATGTGACACAGTTCTCTAACTTATTAGCTAAAGTCCAACAACTGCTTATGAAATAATTATGGTAAGAACTCAGGGAGCAAATAATTGTGCATGGGAATACAGAGTGGATGCTTTGGTAAGACTCTCTAAGGTAAAAATGTACAAGAAAAGAATAATGGAATCATCTTTATGACAGCAGAACCAACTGATTTCCAAAGAAAGTACAAAGATATACAGTCATCCTATCCACACAGGATTGATTCCAGGACCCACACCCAATACAGTTACAAAAACCCTTATGTAAAATGGCATAGTATTTATGTATAATCTGCATACATCTTCCCGTACACTTATGTCATTTTCTTACTTTAATACCTAGTACAATGTAAATGCTAAGTAAATTATTACATTGTTTAGACAACAATGATAAGAAGAATAAACCTCCACATGTTCAATTTTGATGCAATACTATTTTTCAAAATTTAGGGAGGTTGGGTGGAGCAGGGTCTCACCATGTAGCCCAGGCTAGCTTCAAATTCTGAACCCTCCTAATTCCTTTCATATGTATACACACACACATGTATATATGTGTATATACATATATATGTCATATTCTCAATGAAAACTTCCCTATATTTCTAAAATAGCCAGGTTCCACTTGTTATCACATCACCTTGTTTGACCTCCCTTTTTGTACTTGGCTCTTTCTGAACTGAAGTGTGTTTGTTTGCTATGTTTATTTTCTGAATCGAAGAGGTAAGTGAATGAATATATAAACAGATGAGTTTTAAAATAAGGTGATTATGGTCAGATCTAGCAAGTACATCAGTGACGTGCATAAAGTCTATCAGTTCATACAAATAAAGGTGCCAAAAAATAAGTAAAGTAAGGCTTCAATTACCTGTACTAGGTTGGCCCTGAGGATCACAATAATTCTTGGTCGTCATGAAAATAACTGCCAATCCAATTTCTGCTTCGGGAATAGGTCTAAGACCCTGCCTATTAGAATAAAACAGTTTAAATATGGTAATATATTAAAACTAACAACTTTTATTAAAATAGTATCAAGCTAAATCAGCAGGTTTTATTTTTTCTCCCAAAGAAGTAACAGATAAATAAAGGATATATACCTTTACAATTCTAAAATTCTATAATTTTTGGAATAAGAAAACAGTAATATCCAGACATAAACAAATCTTTGATTACTATGACCCTAAAATAAAAGAGAGAGAGAAAAAGAAGAGAGAAAGCAAGGAGGGAGAAGTACAAATAACTATACATAAGCTATATAATACACATGTATAAGTTTAGTAAACCAAGTCATTTTAACAAATTTACAACAGATTAAGGCTATATTTTTGGAGATGGGGAGATGGGTGATCCTATGCTGCCCAGGATGATCTTGAACTTTTGAACTGAAGTGATCCTTCCACATCTTCCTTCCAAGTACTGGGATTATATCCTGGCTTAAGATATAAGGAATCGTATGATGAGTCTATTTTCTATTATTTTGTAATATGAATGACTGGCTTTATAAAACAGAGATTATTTAATGCAATTTTAAAATAATGCTATGTAGAAAGTACACCCCAAATTTTAACAGCTACAAAACATCCTTTAATACTCACTGAAAAGAAGCTTTAAGGTTGAGCATGATTGTGCACTAGTACCAGTTACTCAGAAGGCAGAGGCAAGGAGGCCAGCCCAGGTGCAGTTACTGAGATCCCACCTCAGAAACAAAATGAAAACTAAAGGGCTAGAGGTGTAGCCAAGTGGTAGAGTGCTTGCCTGGTAAGTGTGAGGTACTGGTTCAATCCCCAGTACCACAAAAAAAAAAAAAAAAAAAAAAAAGATGTTTTTTTATTAAACTAAAATGCTGAACATATTTTTTGTGTATACTTCATTTACTTTTTTTTTTGGTGGAACTGGAGTTAGAACTCAGAGCTTGCACCTTGCTAGGCAGGCACTCTACCACTTGAGCCACTCCTCCAGCCCTTCATTTACTTAAAATAGGATTTAGCTGGATGTACACTCATAACAGCATTACATTAAAAATAAGATTCTTAAAGCATTATAACTAAGTGATTACATGTATCTTCAGACAATAAAAGAAAAGGATGTTAATTTTTACTCTATTAAAATTAAGGGCTTTTCTTTATCAACATTCTAGAAAGGTAACAGATTATATAATGCACATAACTAAAAAAGGAGAAAAAATACAGAAATCACTACAAATCAAAAAGAACACACAAAAATGTAATTATCATACAGCCTAGTATTTCCATTCCTGGGCATAAAAATAAAAACTTGTGGCCATATAGAAACCTATTTATAAGTGGTCATTGCAGCTTTATTTCTAACAGAAACTGTGAACAATGGAAATGTCCTTCAATGTGTGAATGGTCAATAAACTATGGTATATTCATAAAATGGAATACCACCCAGCAATAAAAAAGGTGAACTCTTATTACATATGACTTAGGTGAATCGCTGAGGAATTCTGCTGAGTGAAAAAAAGCCAATACAAAAAGATTACATGCTGTATGATTTCACTTACATGAATTTTTCATAAAACAAAATCATAAAAACAAAATAAATTAGTGACTGCCAGGGTTAAGGGATAACATAAGAGATGTTTGTGGTGATAGAGCTGTTCCTTATGTTGACTATGTGATGAATCAGTGAAATACAGACTTAAATACATACACCAATAATTAAAACTGAAAAAATAAAACTGGAAAAATATAACTACATAACTAGATGTATTAATAATACTGGGGAAATTTGTATTAAGAAAGAGAACACAGGGCCGTGGGCGTAGCTCAGTGGTAGAGCACTTGCCTTGAATGTGAGAAAGCCCTCACATTCAATCCCAAGCATCTTAAAAAAATCCTTTTTAAAAGTAACCTAATTACCTCAACAGAACACAGGGCAAGGAGCATGCAGGTATTTCACAAAAAAAGAAAAATGTATGTCCTACAAATGTGTGAAGACATGTCAGAGGCTAGGTATGGTCATTTACACCTGTATTCTCAGCTACTTGAGGCAGAGATCAGAAGGATCACTTCAAAGGCCAGCCTAGGTAAAAAGTTAGGAAGATCTCTTTGCAACAAATAAGCTGGAAACCCAACTATATGAGAGAAACAGGTGGAAGAACTGGAGTCCAAGGCCAGCCCTGGGCGAAGACATGAGATCACAGAAACCAAATCATAACTAAAGCAAAAAGGGTTGAGGGTGTGGACCTGCCTACAAGTGTAAAATCCCCAGTAATTAAAAAAAGAAAAGTTAATAAATGTTAAGTATCACTAGTGATCAGGGAAATACAAATCAAAATCACAGTGAGATACAATCATAAATCCATTCAATGGGCAAAATACAAACATCAGACAAAACCAAGTGTTGAAGATGATGTTCATCTACTGTAGAGAGGAGTGTAAATGGTTTGATAACACCTAAAGTTGAACATTCACATAACCTATAATCTATCCTGCAGTTCTATTCCTAGAAATGTTCCCCAAGGGAAAACTTGTATAAGTACCAGCAGGAAATATAACAAAAAATGTTTACAATGGAAAAAAATCTGGAAACAAGATTCAAAAACAAGTTGACAAATCTGGGAGTGTGGGAACTGCAATCCACACAATGAAACATATTCTACCATAAAATAATTCATAGCTACATGTAACAGAATAGATAAATTCACATCAGTATTAACATAGGTAAGAAAAATCTCCAAATATTAAATGTAGCATAATAATCATGTAATAAAATTAAATACAACTAAAAGACATATAGGCACTCACACATACATAAAAAAAGCAATGGACACTGTAAATAAAAGAAAGCCTGTAAACAACCCTGGGATTTAGGATGATAGTTATTCCACAAAGGACACATAATTAGTGGTAGGGTATTTTCAAGGATGTAGCTTGTATTTTGGGTGATAGAGTCTCAGGTATTTATTGATTATTATAAATAACTAATTAGTCGATAAACTAAATGGATGTGTATGTACTATGCACAGCTCAATGATGGCAGTATATTGTAAAAAAGAATTGTAATTCATCCAATTTTGTTCAAGGATGAAGAATAGGTGAGGACAGATGATAAGGAAGAAATCTAAGATACTGAAATAATGCAGTACATTTTTGTTATTGTAGTAAGATAGTATTTTTGTTACAAAAATAGTTTTTAAAATAATAGTCAATAAATCCTCGTCAAGTAAAATATTTACAGGACAGATGACTAAAATTTTACTTTTTATTTCAGGAAATCCATTAAAAGAAAAAAATAATTCCCATGGTTAGAAGGACTCCTTTGACCATGAAAAATTAATCCTTTTACAGAGATGTGGCTATGGGCTATAATACCCCTAAAACTACTTTTTGCTACATTAATAGAATTTTAGTCAACAGATTGTCAAGCCTTGTATTTCCACAATACACTTGGGCTTCAACAATGCTAAAATTAATACCAATATAAAGTCTAAGGAAACAGATCCTTGAGGAAGCTCTTTTACAGTCTCCTTTTCTATGACAAATAGTATCCTTGAACATTTAACAGTTTTTCCCACCTTTCCCACAGTATCCATATAAGAGGAAATAAATTTTTAAATGCATTTTAATGGGTAATAATCAAGGGCCAATACATTTCAGTTCTAGAAAATTTCAGAAAATACCTTATTTTTAAATTTTAATCTCAATTGCAATATATTCTGCAGGAAAAATACTATTTCATTAGTTTAAAGGTAAATTCTACAAATTCTGTTAAAGTAATAAAAAAGCAGAAAATATTGAGATAAAATTATATATAAAGATAATCCATTATCTAGCAAAGCATTCACAATTTTCAAGTAGATACATGATAAAACCTACGTAATTCTTCTATCTACTTCTATATTAAGTGAAGTACATCCAAAAAATGTAAAATCTACTTCCATTTTTTTTTTGTTTCATGAATGGTGAGTAATTCTGTACCTTTGGAGTGCATCCATAATTGAATGAATCCATTTCTTCTGAGAGTCAGGAATTAAGATCTGTGTGTTTGTTATTCCTATATCAACAACACAAGTTCCAGGAGCTGAAAAGAAACTATCTTCTTCTTCATTTTCCTCTGTTATCAACCTAGCTTCTCCACCTCCAAAAACAACTGCTGAACTTAGTTTCTTATGCTAAAAATGGAAAGAAACATTTTAAAATGTAATGTAAGATGCTAGATACTGGTGGCTCACGCCTACAATCTTAGCTACTTGGGAGGCAGAGATCAGGAGGACTGTGGTTCAAAGTCAACCCAAGAGACCCTATCTTGAAAAATCCCAACATAAGAAAGGGCTGGAGACATGGCTCAAGTGGTAGGGCACCTACCTAGCAAGCATGAGGCCCTGAGTTCAAACCCCAGTACCCACCCTGCCCCTGACAAAAATAAAAATAAAAATTAACATAAGAGACACAATGAATTTTCTAATTATGTATTTCTTATATAAGAATTTGCTCTGGGAAATAAAACAAAAGTAGGATTCCTTCTGTTTCTTAGTGGGCAATGTGAGCTTCCGCTCTGAGAAAATCCATAGTTCAGCAAGTGTCTCTACAGTCCTCAAATCATTACACTGTCTGCGTTTCCTCATCACACCTATCACACTCTTCTACGTGGGTTCACTGCATGGCTTTTCCACTACTACATAATCTGGAATCACCACTTAGGCACTCACAAGACATTCCATAGGGGTTTACTAACTGAACACACAAAGGACCTGAAAGCTTTCTGTCCTTCCCACTTACATATGTATACACTGTAATCATATACATGATCATGAGGCAGGTTCTGATACCTGGGAACTTTTTTATTCTACTTAACTCATCTAGACAAAAATCCCCAAATAAAATGCATTAACAACTGATAAGACTATTAATATATCCTAATTTACATTTACCTCAGGAAAATTTCACTTATAACATTACCTGTTTGGCATTTAAAAATACAAATGTTTTCCCTTGGAAGATTTGTTTTCTTTCCTGTCGTCCTGAAAGATCAACATTTTTATTTCCTATAGCTGGTTCATCAACAGGTGGATAAAAACTGTAAAAATAAAAGTATACATTCAGACATGTACAATATTTTGATAAAATTCCATTATAGTATAGATGATTAAAATTAAAAACTCTTTAAATGGACTAATCTAAAAATAACTTCATTTATATTAGGATTTTGAGGATAGCTAATAAAAATGAGAAATCACAAATCATGTCAGATACATGAAGCTGTAATTCTGTCTTACCCTTTTCTTGATGACAATGCAAAGATGCAGACATGTCTACACTGAACAGGATGGCATTTTGTTGGGTAAAAAAATAGTATAGTATGTTTCCTGATTGAAATTGAGGACTAGTGATCATGCTTGCTTCAGAATTACAAGAAGAGGTACTTATGTCATCAGGATTCATTAGTTTACTTTCTATCTTTTGTTTCTATCTATCCTTTTGTTATGTATTCCTATTACTAGTGAAATATTTTTAATCAAATCGTTTTTCTATTAATAACTGAGTACTCAGTCAAATAAGTCTGCAAGGAGTATATCAAATGGATTCAGATGAGTACAGGGATTTATTAAGGCAAATGATTAAATATTTTAAACTTGTTTTATTTTTTGAGACAGGATCATAATGACCTTGGCTATAAATAGTAAGACATTATTAATTCCAGATTACTTAAGGGTAGAGGGCCTGATAAGCTTTCACTACTAGCCAGGGCTGTTACATTTTTTTTGGTGGTACTGGGGTTTGAACTCAGGCACTCAGGTTTGCTAGGCAGGCACTCTACCACTTGAGTCCCCAGCCCTTGGGAATCATTATTTAAAGAACTTATGGACTCCCCAAAGGGAGGGAGATGACTAGGCTTCTGGAGAGAATGTGATTCCGTTGAAATATTAAGCAAGTTTGCAGTGTGTTTGTGAAATTTCCTGAGGAGAGACACAGCCTCCATATTCTCACAGGGGGTCTAGTACTCAAGAGAGGTTAAGAACCACCTAATTTAAAATCTGAGAATCTTTTACTAGAGTCCAAAAATATTACAGCATCTGTTAACCAGGTTATAAAACACAAGAAACCTCCCAGGTGAAAACTTAATAAAAGAGAAAAATCTGACTTTTGATTACTGTTAAAAGCAGACATCTATCATCATAGGGGTATAAATACTCCCTAAAAAAAATCTCTGCACTGGGCAAAGTAGCTTTTACTTGCTGGTAATAGTTTAAAATCATTGAAAAAACTCCTAACTTGCAAAAACACTAAATTTTTTTTTTTTTTTTTTTGGTGGGACTGGGGTTTGAACTCAGGGCTTCATACTTGTGAAGCAGGTGCTCTACTGCTTGGGCCACACCTCCAGTTCATTTTTGTTCTGATTATTTTGGAGATGGGATCTTGTGAATTATTTGCCTAACTGGTCTCTAACCGTGATTCCCACTACCCCTCCCCTCATCAAAATCCCAGCTGCCCAAGTAGCTAGGATTTCAGGCATGAGCCACTGGTGCTGGCTTTTAATTTTTAAAACCTCAAATGTTGCCCAGCACCAGTGGCTCATGCCTGTAATCCTAGTATTCAGGAAGCAGAGATCAGGAGGATCACAATTCAAGGTCAGTTCCAGGAAAATAGTTCTCGAGACTATCTCAAAAAAACCTATCATAAAAAAAGGGCTGGTAGAGTGGCTCAAGTGGTAGAGCACCTGCCTTGCAAGTGTGAAGCCCTAAGTTCAAACCCCAGTACTGCCAAAAATAACTATGTAAAAAGGAAAAAACTCCTTAAATATTAAGGTTTCCTATAAAGATAAGACTGTAAAATACCATCAATCTTTTACGTCACATAGACTACAAACTCTTTTAGTGTCTTTTCAAGTAAGGAAGTCCTTGTATAATTAAATTGACTTAAATAACCACCATTTTGTAGCCCCCAGAATCTTTACTAAGTTATTAATATTTTAACAATTCAGCTAAACAGGTATTATTATTATTATTATTTTCCTGGTACTTAGTCTCACTATGTGGCCAAGCTGGTCTTGAACTCTCCATCCTCCTGCCACAGTCTCTCAAGTGCTGGAATTACATGTGTGTGTCCGATGCTCAGCTTAGTCTCATTTTCACAGTGAGGAAAGACACTCAAAAGAAATAAGCTGCACATCCAAGGCCATGGTACTGCAAATATTTGGGCCCTGGACTCTGGCTCCCAAGGCTGCTGCACCATACAATGTTGGGGGCTTCTCACCTATGATGCCTGGAATGGCACTGACACTCTTCTGATCACACCTCACGGCCATTTACTGCTTCCCAAGGTTTTTCTTTAAATATCAGCACTATTTAACATTTGTTTCACAGAGATAAGAAACAATCAACAAGAATTTGGGAAATCCTTTCTTTACATGCCAACAAAAAACTGCTATTAATGACACTGAACTACATTGGAATCTATTACATCTTAAAATGGGCATGATAGAATTAATCTAAATAAAACCACTGCTATCTATTTCATATGCCATATCATGTTATGTTTTATTTGACATACATAGATTACCTTTCAATTTGTGGAAGTTGTTTCTTGGACTGAACTGCTTTGAGAAATTCAGTAAAATACTCTGGCTTTACAATTGGACATCCACAAATGAGTGCACATATTGTCTAAAATGAAGAAAACATACACAAATATATGTACTCATACACTAAATTCTTTTAAAGAAAACTTCTAAGTTATAAGCCACAAAAATGCTATTCTATACTGTCCCTTTCATAGCTCTAAATTTACAAATGAACCACAATGTATAAAACAGAAGTCAGTATTTGGTCACTACTTAATTTCAGAACAAAAATCAACATACAATCACTTGCATTTAATAAGCCACCAATCACAATATAAATTTTAAAACTACTTTTCAGGGGGTGCTGGAACAACCTAAAAATTCATAAATCGTAACTATGTTCCAATTGTAAAACATTAAAAGATTAAAATTTTATCATGAAGCTGAGGAACACATCTGTAAAGTATCTGTTACAGAGAAGACAATATTAAAAAATAAGCATGAGAGAAAGCTTTTCAGCCTAACTGCCTTTCAAAAGGATTCTAACTGTGGAATAAAGACTTTTTGCATAAACAATAGATTAACTATCTGGCATTGGATGAAAGTTCAGAATAAAGGTGAAAAAAAGAAACTTCAGATAACATGTAAATAATCTATAAGTCTCAAATAAGATACAACCATAAAATCTGAAGAGATTAGAAAACTCTACTGCGGGTAACAAAAATGAAAATAAAGATTTGGCAAAGTTCTCGGAAACATCCAACTAAAGAGTTTACAAGTATGCTTCGAATAACAAAGGCATTGCCTAAATAGGAACAAGCAGATTTAGGGTGTCTAAAGAGTAGGAATGAGAGAATTCACTTCCAGCAGAAGCAGTAATGTGCAACTCAACAGTGGACTGAGTAAACCATAATATATTTCACTGAGAAAACACCAATGTTACATTTCTCAGCTTGTTCTTCAAAGTTGTCATTTGGTTCTAATATTCAATGACTTTTTAAAATCATAAGCTAACTTGTACTTTGGAAATTTTATCAAAAATATAATGATAAGATTTTCTCTTTTGGCTTAGGATTGATCAGAAATACTGAAAAAGTTGGGAAATACTGAAAAACTGCACAAAACATGTTGGTGTCTCTAAAGGAGAGATGTACAAGATGACCATTAGCAGGCCAGTCCTGGAATAATATCCCCTCTGTCAGGCCCAGGAAAATCTCTCCAGAAACATTAGCTGCTTTTGGTCTTATTTCACACTTACAAAGCAAGTGCATGATTACCTATTTCATTTCTTAAGTACTTTAATATCCTAAAGGGTAGTCCACACTCAGATATTCTGATCACTGAAAGGTGTAAATAGATTTATGAATCTACCATCTGTGGGTGTGCCAGCAAAAATGAATACTATGGAGGTTCTAACTATATAAAATCAATTTCATAAACTTGCAGAGATGGAAAAAATCTTTGATCACAGATAACTCAACAGGGTACATAGTTAATAAGAAGTTTAATCCAAGCAGCAAAACTTTCTCTATAACACTTTCAAGAATAATATGCATATTCTAATTAATTATATTAAATGCTAAAGCATTTTTGAATCATCGATATTAGATATTACCCTAAAACAATTCCATATATGCATAGTCAATCTGTTTAGAAGTATATTAATTACTTTCCAATACCACTCTTTAAATAACTTTGGATATAAGTAAGTCTGAAGCAGATGTAAAATCTGAAAACAAACCAAAATATATCACTGTTTAATAAGTAATCAGCATCTTCTAAAGGGACACAACTATGTATCTCTAGGCTGTAAAGATTCATTAAAGAAATATTAAACTGTAAGAAATTAAAAGTCTTTGTGATTAGGGCCTTAAGTCAAATAAATATTATGTAAGACAGCATGAGCTAACTAGATGGTATCAGAAACTAGAAGACAACTTGATAGAGACATGAGATGCTAACTGTGAAGACTGGTAGGCAGTTAATCTGTAGTCTCTGCTTTTTGACTGAAAACATGAACTATGAACTCCAATAACCTTCATGGTAAAAAGAACACAAGTCCTTTCTGAAAATGCCAAATCAAAATCTGAAATCTAAGTTTATGTGTTTCCACTTGTCTCATAATAAACAGATTATCTGAAAAGTCATTTGAGCCTAAATAAAGGCATGGGGTAGACATAAATAAATCTGTACAATTCTAATAGTTTCACAGTAAAAGTTTTAAAAAGTCTGTGTATAGTGGGTTCATAAGCTTAAGTTTACAGAACATATTTTAACATAAAGACATTCAACTTACTTTAATGGTAACTTTCACTGATGCCATGACAAGGTGAGTACATTCTTCTGTCCAGTTGTTTACAGTAAGTCCTCCCAGTTGTAATATAGCTTGATTTAAAGCAGTTTTTCCAGAGATGTCTAAACAAGAAGAGCATATAACCAAAGGCTCATATTCTACTCTGTAAATGAAAATAAGTTACATACATAAGTTATTGAAGTAATTAGAAATGTAATCAGAGATGGCAACTTTTAGTACTTTAAGCTCATAATCCACAGCTATTTTAATTTTATGTATTACTAAACTTTCTGCTCTATGAAATTATCACTTAAGTTGAGTACTAACGAAGAAAAAGCAATGACTGAAGATTACAGTATAACTTCACATATGAAGAATCAAGCAACTGAACTCTCATCAAAATTCTCAGAGGCCACCCAAACTCTATTTCTCTTGTCACTGTGTGTAATTGACAAATGCACTAATCACATGGGGCCCAAGGTTCCCTACTGGGCTAAGTAGGAACTAAATTATATAGCTTTTAATTCTTCAATCATAAATATTCTTTTCTTTGAGAATTTGATTAGTATAAAATAAACTGTTCATTTTAATAACAATTCAAAACTTTTTTTTTTTTGTGGGACAGGGGTTTGAACTCAGGACTTCACACTTGCAAAGCAGGCACTCTACTGTTTGAGCCACACCTCCAATCCATTTTTGCTCTGGTGATTTTGGAGCTGGGATCTTGCAAACTATTTCCCTGGGCTGGCCTAGAACTGCAATCCCCCCAGTCTTAGTCTCCCAAGTAGCTAGTTTCAGGCCTGAGCCACCAGTACCCTGCTCAATTAAAAAATTTCTTTTTCTCAAGTGCTAGGCCCCATGTTCAATACCCAGAACCACGTAACACAAGCAAACAAAAACAAAACAAAAAACTTCTTACCTGAATTTACTTTCAAACACTCCAAAAGTAACTCTATCCCCTGTCTTCAAAGTATGGGAAAGGCCATTCTGCATTTTTTCCTCATTAACAAAGGTACCATACTTAGAATTATCTTTTATTGTTAATAAAGGAATTTCATCTGTTTGACTCTGAAAAAAATGAACAAATAACTTAAAGTCTTTTAGCACTCAATAACATAATTATAAGGGGAAAAAGTTTCAAAAAATTAACAACTTTCTGAGTAGGCAAAAGTGAAGCAGACAATAGTTAACTGTTTAGGTTGCCTTTAAGGAATGATCACTCAACTAGCAATCAGTATTTTCCCTCAAAGCAATTTCTTAATCCTGGGGTTACCTCTTTTTGAACATATATTTTCTTAATTTTTCTAAACCAGTGGTGTTTTTTCCTGACTCCTCAATTTCACACATTTGAAAATTTTTTGCTTTGGTACAATCTCTTTAATATATAACAAGTTATCATCATTCCCTTCCCCCAATTTTTTTTTTTTTACATTATAAAAATCACAGACTAACAACTGGTCCAATGAGAATAAAGACTAGTGTTTCTGAGTTTCAGCATAGATATATACATATATATACATATATATATTTTTTTAAATCAATTTTATCACCCCATGGTTGTGATTGAAACAATCTCAAAGCCATTCAAAGGAACTGCATGGCATAAGTAAAATTTATTAATTCCTACTGTGAAAACTTGGGTTTATATGGAAAATGCCTGTGTTCACACATCCACTATAACCTCATCCACTATATTCCTCTTCAAGAGTAGGAATCATGAAGGTCCATTCACTGTTCTATACTTAGAGGTAGCACAATGAATGATGCAAACTAACCACTTAACAAATGCACTGTAGTTTGCATTTGGAGTATCCTCCAAAGATCCATGGGTTAAAGGCTCACTTGTCAGTCTGTGGAGCTACTGGGAAAGTGACAGAACCTTTCCACCTTTAGTGGAAAGAAGAAGGTCACTGGGTGTGCCCTTGATATTGAGACCTGGGCCCCTTCCTTTCTGTTTGCCTTCTGGCTGCCATGAGGTGAACAGTCTCATACACTAAGGACTGCTGCCATGGGGTTATGTGCTGCTACAGGCCCAGAGTAATGTGGCAAAGCAACCACTGTGAGCCAAAATAAATCTTCCCTCCTTGAAACCGTTTACCTTCACCTTCAGTACAGAAAGATTACTGACACAAAATGTTCATTAAGGAAATAAATCACTGAAAGAGTAAAATATTGGAATAGAAACTTCAAATTTCAAAATAAACAATACCACTGCTAATTATGTACAGATTTTTTAATATTGTTTCTTTGTTTTGCTTTTTTTTTTTTTTTTTTTTTTTGTGGTACTGGGGACTGCCAGGGCTTCATGCACAATAGGCAAGAGCTCTACACTGAGTCACACCCCTAGTACCAATGATAAATATTTAATTTTGTTAACATTAAAAAAAATAGCTTTAAAAAATGAAAGATGTTACTGCAAGCTAGAGAAATAAGGTTAGTAACATACCAAGTTGGTTACAGAGAAGTTAGCTAATAACACAGCATGATTTCGACTGATTGACTGATCATCTTCAATTAGAATGGCACAGTTTTTCCTTCCAACAATGTACTCAACACCAGTCAAAAGTCTGTATGGTTCTCCTAAGAGAAAGCAATATAAATTAAAAAATAAAAAGATACAAGTAAACTGAACACACATATATATAACAAATACATGAATATGTACTATATATATGATACAGGCATGACAAAATTTAAATAAAGCACTCTTTGTTTGCTATTTAAATGCTAAACAACTTTATATGTAGCAAGTGTGTGTTTTCTGTAAAGCCTCACAGAAGGATACAAAAGAGTAGCTAAATAGATGGAAGGCTATTATCATTTTTCTAAACAGAAAACAATGTTAACATAAATTTTAATGTATTACCACTGAAATTACATTTTGTTTGGAACTTAATTAAATGGATTCAAAAATTTACTAGGAAAATGTATTCAAGAAAATTGTGAATAGTATTATAGGAATCTGCCCTACCAGATGGCAAAAAGTAAAGGTATGGTAGTAAACTGGAAGTAAACAATACAGACAGATGCAACAATCTATTTTGGGGAGTTGTGTTTCAATGTTAAAGTTAGCGTTTCAAATCATGGGAAATGGTTAATTTTTTTTAAGTTCCAAATCATAAACTGTTGGAGTAACAACATACATGCTGGAGAATTTGGGACTACCTTTCCAGAATGGTAAGGGGAGTAGGGCAGATGAACTAGGTGAGTTGGAAAGGAGTCCAGGAAGGCCTTTTTAAGCAGTTCAGATTTCATCCTGTTAATAGAATTTTTTAAATTTGTTTTATTCTAATTTGGAGATAAGATCACACTATATTGCCTAGGCTAGACTCAAACTCATGATCCTCCTTCCTCAGCCTCCCAAGTAGCTGGGATTACAAGAGTGGCTCAGCTTGCCCAATTCATCAGATTGTGAACCTGGACAGTTTCAAGTAAAAAACTGTTAGTTTACCACACAACACAAAGATGACTGGGGTCTCAGTCCATAACCTCTGTTTGATTCTGAAAAGTTTCTGACTACGTAAATGAATCCTAGCCACTGATGGTAGAAGCATATTCCTTTTGCTATCATCTATTAAACTGAGGCTTAAATCTACTTCCCCAAGTAGTGAACTACACTCTAAGAGTATATTGTATTTTTCCCCTACTTGTTAAACAGGTTATTGCTATGTAGCCCAGTCCAGCCTCAAATTCCCAAACTACTGCCTTAGCCTCCATAGTGCTGGGATTACAGGTTTGCCCGATCAGGCCTGGCAAGATAATACTCTTGTGACTTTATAGGTATTCACTGATCACAGGATGTCAGCTGATGAGACATACCTTATGCACTTGCTGTAAATGAGTCATCATACTATGCCCAAATAAGGCAACTGCTGAGGTGGAACTAATCAAGCTGTTTCTGTACATGACTTCTTTTCTTCTGTCTATAAATATTGCCTGGCCAAGGTGTTGGGTGCAGCTTTCTTGAACCTCTACTAGTTCATTTGTCGGAAGGTTTTTTCTTTTTTCTCTTTTGTTTCTTTCTTGTGTGTGTGTGTGTGTGTGTGTGTGTGGTGATGGGGTTTGAACTCCACCAGGCTTTTTTGTGTTGGGCATTTTTCAAGATGGGGTCTTATGAACTATCTGCCCGTGGATGGCTTCAAACCTGGATCCTCCTGATCTCTGCCTCCTGAGTAGCTAGGATTATTGGCATGAGCTACCAGTGCTCAATTTAAGGTTTTCTTTTAACAAACCTACAGGAACTCCAAGAGGCAGGCCCCGTCAACTGTTTTCTCAAGTGAACAAAATCCTACCTTCCCACCAAACAAAATTTAGGTTTTACCTTTGTCTTTGAGTCTTTTTGTGTGTTTTTCTCCATCTTCTCTTATATCATCTATCAATCTAGCCTCTTTCCCTTATTTTTTTTTCCTCCCCAATCATAATGTAAACTTCTTGAGGACAGGACCCATTCACAGATAACCCACTTACTCTTCTATCTTCTAATAGTGACCACACATAGGGTGGCAACTAATTAACATGTGAAAACCACTTTCTACTGCTGGAAGTGCAGAAAAGGGAGGAAACAATCAGCTTTTTCCGTTGACTTGATACTATCGGGGAAAGATCTGAAAGAAAATTAGCTTTCCAGCGGTGCCTGCCACGTGGCTGTTCACAAGAGGAAACCATACGCCACAGACAGCGCCATCCTGCGGTCTGGCCGGGATGACTTCACTGTGGGTGTTCCCTAAAAGGGTGAAGGGCGAGATGTCACAGCTGGTAGGCCACCGTGCTCCCTGGGCAGACCATCCCTCTGGTCCACCCTAGGGGAAACCCGGAGCGAGGAGGGGCGCCTGAAGTCACCGCCCACGCCCCCACCCTGGAGTGACCCGCGACTCCCAGACACCAAGTTCCGGTCCCGCGTGCGCTCGCACCGACCCTCCGGGTGGGACCGCCGGCGGCGCCGGAAGGCGGTGCCAACGGACCGGAAGCAGCCTCCTCGGACTCTCCCGCGACAGCTGCTCCCGGGAAAACCGGGCCCCGTAGTCTCCTTTCTGCCCTTACCTCGGGCCGGGCCCGCAGCGGGAAGCAGCTTCCACATGGGTTCGGCACCTCAACACCCCGGCCAGAGCAAGGGTGCGCAGCCACAGATGTCCGACATACACGGCCACAGCACCGGCTACTCGCGCGGGCTCGGGACGTGCGCGCTCCCTGCAGCCGCGCAAGTCCGCTGGAAACCCGGGGATGAGGGCGGGGTTGGATGTGGGCGCCTGGTCGCCACCTAGTGGCGAGGAGAGGAACAGCGCAGTACATGTTGTGCTTGAGGACAGACCTGGCTTTCTTTAATCTTTGATTCACGGGATATAAGATTATTGCTTTCTCTTACTGTGATGGGAGAGAATGTTACGAATTAGCTCCAAATCCATGTAGGTTTTGATTAGTTATATAGTTACATGCATTTACAGTGCTTTAAACTGTAGTCATTCCTTTGTAGTAGTGATAACGGTGAAGATAAGCGACTCATCCAAAGTCAGTTTATTATATTTAAACTTTTCCACGTTTAAGTCAACTTCTAGCTTCTCCGTTTTATCGGGTTACACTTTGATCTGACCACGTTCTAAGTACTGAAGAGTCTACTTTCTGTATCCACCTGTCTGTGGCCCTGAGACATCACCACCCACCTCTCATACACTGCTACGTAAACCCCTGAGAGCACATTTCTGGACACATTTCTGGTGGACAAAATCAAGCTATAATAGGGGAATAAATCATTGCAAAAGTCTGGATGGCTAGTCTCTGTTATCACCATAGATGCAAAAACCTTAAACACAAGACTAACAGGTGAAATCAAATGGTATTATTAAAAGAACAATTAGCTGGGCATGATAGTATATACCTATAATCTTATGTATATGAGGAGACCTGGGAGAAAAGTGGAAGACCATATTTGAAGAATAAAACAAAGAAAGGGCTGAGAGCAGTAAAGCGCCTGTCTAGCGGTAAGGCCCTGAGTTCAGACTCCAGTACCACCAAAACAGTAAATACATAAATAGGACAAAGTGGGGTTTATGCCCAAAACAGAAAGTATATGTTAATATTTTTGTGAAGAAAATGTAACTCATCACAATTTTTAAAGCTGAAACATCATAATGTGTTTCAATAGTTGCAGATAAAGCATTTGATAAAATTCAACACCTACTCATGATAAAAATTCTTTACAAAATAAGAATAGAGGAAGCATCCTTGGTCAAGGACATCTGTGAAAAACTGCACTTCAACTATACTTAAGGTAAGTTATCGGACATTTGACCTGGACATCCGGAATGAAATAAGAATACATCTGTTCTTATCACTTGTTTTCAGTGTGGTAGCAAATACTCTAGCCAAAAATAAAGGAGATAAAAGAAACAGACTGCTAAGAAAAAAATAGCACTGTCATTCATCAATGGCATAATTGTGTATATTGAAATGTAAGAGGCTACTGGTAAACTTTTAATTAGTAATTGAATTTAATAATGTCAGTGGATGAAATGTCTAGATACAACATTTAATTGTATACCTTTATTTCGGAAATAAATAGAAAATGACATAAATATAAAATATGTAATATAATAGTATCGAGAATCATCAAATACTTAGTAATAAACCTATCAAAAGATGTGATTCAAAACTATATTGACTACAAAATATGATTGACAGAAATGTTTTGAATTTTGGATTAGTTCAGATTTGGGGATGTTTGTACGCACATAATGACATATTGAGGGATGGGACCCAATTACAAACACAAATATGCACATAGCCTGAGGTAATTTTATATAATATTTTTTTTTAAAGTTTCAGTGCTGGGAATTGAACCTAGGACCTCACGCATGTTGAGCACACACTCTACCTCTGAGATACACCTCTAGCTTCAGTAATTTTACCACGAAACAAAGTTTCATGGAATCCAAAGATTTTGGATTTTGGAGAATTTCCAATTTTGGATTTTCAGTTTAGGAATGCTCAACCTATGTTGTGACAAGGCTAGGTAGGAGAAACAACATAGTCTTGGGCCACTTTGTAAATATTTTCTATTATTTGTCCCAGTTTCATGCGAACATTTTCTGACTGCATTTTCTTTTTTGTTTTGTTGTGTTGTGTTTGAGGCAGGGCCTCAGTACATAGTCCAGGTTGGCCTCCAACTCAGTCATCCTGCCTCAGCCTCTCAAATGCTGCAATTACAGGTGTGTGTTACTACACCTGGCTATGACTGTATTTTCTGACATGGATGGAAATGACATTCATCATCTCAGCCGTCTCAAACTGGTTACTCTGCTCCTGAAAGTTTTCACATCTGGTACAACTCTGAGGTTCTTGCTTCATTGAATTGTAGTCTTTTCTTTTTTTTCCTTTCCTAAAAATGATTGGGTTTTCGTAGGGTAATTATGGTGAATTAAATGGAGCTATGAGGGCAACCAAAAGAGACACTAATAGGTACCATTCCTCTGTGTTGTTTTTATTTACTGTCTCGACTGTGCAATTTCACTTTAATAACTTCCTCCTTTGCCCAGGGAACTGAGGTGGATGTTGTACTAACTACCGGGTACCTTCACTTCAGTCTTACCTTTGGGGACTGGGACAATGGCCATCAGATAGGTTCATGTGCTGAGGGGACCCACTGTATGTTAGGACTCTTAATTTTCTGGCTCTAGTATATCTCCACTCTTACTGTGACTACCATAATACTTTGGGGTCATGAGTATTGTGCCGGGATCACAGAGGTCCTTGACCCGAAAGGGCTCAAGAAAGGAATGAATAAGACAGGACATACGAAAGGACTCACTCACTCAGGAAGGGAATGACAAAACACATATCGAGAGGGCCAGCAGGCTGATGACCAGCTGGCAAAATTTTATTTTTCTCAGCAAACTTTATACAAAAGAGGAAGAGACTTAAACATCAAAACACTCTGACCTTGTTACAACCTTTCTGTTTTTGCCATCCTGTATTTTTACCGCCAGTGTCCTTGACTAAGTATGAACTTCTTTTCAGTCAAGGGAAACTATTTAGCGTCCTTCCCACCGTGATAGAGACATGGTGCACCTGCAGATTCCGACCTTGTCGGAATGCTGCTAAGCCACAGCAACCTTGTCAGATGGTGGCTTTTGGCTCCCAACATTGTGGTTTGAATAAGTGTACCCCAAAAGTCCACATGTAAAGCCTTAGTCTCCAGGGTGGCAATATTGCGAGGTGCTGTGGAGCCTAAAGAGGTAAGGCCTAGTGGGAGTTCCTTATGTTATTTGGGACATGCTCTTGAAAGGGATTGTGGGAGTCTCTTGTTTCTGTTTCTTTCTCCTGACTCAAGTTGTGAGCACTCACTGAAACACATGTTTTCACCATGATGTGCCTCAATTGTCAGAGCCACAACTATGCAGACACTCGATCTTGGACTCGAACCTCAAGAACTGAGAGTCAAAATAAATCTGTATTGCATAAATACTCTGTGTCATTATAGTGATGACATTGTAATAGTTTATTATGGTGATACAAAGCTGACTAACACAGAATCAATAATGATCATGTATAACCAACCTTAAAATATTTGTGTCCTTTTTTTCCTTATTGCATGATTCCCAAATGAATGACTATAGATCCCATTGGGGAATAAAGGGGGGTATTAGAAGTCTTTATTCTCATTTTGTTGTTGCAGGGTTCTCCCTCCTGGCTACCCCTGCCTGTCTTTCAGCCAGTGGGTTCTGTATTGGTAAACTGGTTCAAGTCACGAGCTTGAGTGACCGACATTTGTGGGCTGCTAACCTCTGCCACGTGTCCATGATATTTTTTTCATTCTATCGAATGAGCATACCTCATTGGCTAGGTTTTATCTCTTCCCCACCCAGGAATGATATACTCTATTAACTATATGTTTTCCCTGGGACAAAAGCTCTGGATGCCTAGCAAATCTTGCCACTCATTAGGATTGTACCTTTCTAGTGGCTACGTGCCACTAGCTGGCCTCTGTTATTTCATCTTCCTTTGGCAGAGTCTATTCCCCATACTGCTGTGTGTGAACTCAATTCTGTAACAGCATCTTTTATCATCAACTATGATGCACTGAGCAAGCACTATCACTGAGCTACTCAGTGATGCTGTTGCTCTTCTCAACAGAGAATTCCTTGTCACTTTAACAATGTCTGAATCAGAACTTTCACATGAGATGGTGTTCCAGCCTTACCTGTCTACTTCTCTGTACATTTTGACTCCCCCATCTACCATGTATCATGGCAATTCTGGCATTTCTACTTTTAGTGTAGCTTGCCCCTTTTTCTTAAGTTTTTAAGAAATATCATAGAAGAATGCTAAAAATGTTCCTCAGGGTCCCTTGTCAGAATGTTAAGTCCTCTCTCCTTGGAGAGTGCTTCCAATTCATTAAATTCTCCCTCATCCTAATTTATTTTCCTTTTGCTTTTTGTTCAGTATCCTGAGAATATATTCCTGTAAGTACTCTCCTTATTCTTGCCAGTACATGTTAGCAGGTCCTGTAGTGCCTTTGGGGTAAAGTCATTACTGTAACAGGCCAATTCCTTCCTACCCAGGTTATATTAGTACAGAATTTATTATCTGATTGCCAGGAGGAATGGCAACAGTGGTAGTAATAAAGAAAAAAAATCAAGGCTCCATGATTTCCATCTTTTGCTTGGTAACACACTACTCTGATTGTCAAAAACCAATTGACTGGGGTCCTTCTGCTCTAACCCAACAGAATTGTGGGTAAGTGTTTCTAGAAACATTGAAAAGAGGAAGCATGATGTAAATATGTTTTAAGATCAATTAGCAAATTGGTCTTATTGCTTCATGCTCTCTGCTTTACTCAGACTGCTGGCATCTCCTCTCTCCTCTGTTCTATTATAAACAAACCCTTTTAGATCTTCAGGGTCTTCATAGAATCTTCTCTCTATATCTGACCTTAAGTGAAACATGGCTCTCTCACCCTAGACCATATCTTCCTTTGGCAGATTCTGGATTGTTTTCTCCATTCCATCACTCACTGATATCCACCATCTCTTTCTCACTGAACACTCACTTTCCACTTCGCCCCACTTGCCAAATCTCTCCTAGGTCGGGATCATTTCATACAACTACTTTTCTTCCATAATTCCTCTCATTGTTACCTATTGCAGGCATATGCATACCATTTGCCCTTATTCACTGTCACCTATCTGAAAA